GTAAAAGTTGATTGTAGAAAATAAAGCGTAGTGGCAAGGTAGGTCTTTTGGTGGATTTGATAATATTGGCCCGTTTCTTTGGTTTTCTCGCATTTTCCTGGGAAAATATTGTAACAACGAGACACAAGTGTATCTTAGCATATAAACTTTCAGATGCTAATTAGATTATATAATAAAAAATACAATTGGGATGCATTGTTGTTGGAAGAGTGTAAGATTTGCATATTTGTCCCTGTTCTTCCCATTGTGGAATGCATCCAGAGAGGGTGGGGTTTGTTTTGGTTTCTTTCTTCTCACTCGGCCCAAAAAACCATCTCAAGCACTTTTGGTGCTTCTCGTTAAGATTTATTCGTGGATGCTTCTCATCCCAATTATACTATAATGCAAACTCATCAAATTTTCTATTTGGATTGGTCTTTCATACAGTTCAATGGTTAAAATGCTCTGAAATTACCAAACTACTAAATTCATGAAAAGATAAAATGTTGAAACAGATGGGAAAAGTGAGAGAATGGGATCATCAGACGAAGAACAAGAGAATAACAACAGCGGTGAGGAAACAGAATTACCAGAAATAGACCCGAGGGCCGAAGATCGGGAACTCAAGAACCACTTGCTGAAGAAGTACAGTGGATACTTGAGCAGTCTTAAGCAAGAACTGTCCAAGAAAAAGAAGAAAGGCAAACTTCCCAAAGAAGCAAGGCAGAAGCTTCTTACGTGGTGGGAGTTGCATTACAAGTGGCCGTATCCTTCTGTACGTATAACACTCTCATCTCTCCATGCCTTCAATTGTTTTATTTGAAAACATTTAAAAAAAACCTTTGTTAGAAGCAGCCGTATAGTTGATTAGAATTTCCTATTTATATTCCAAGACTGGATAGTAGGCTAGCGATCAATACATTGAGTTGGTTATTGTGCCCGTAGTTCAATCTTTTTTAGGAGAAAAGTAGAGAATATACTAAAAGCTAACTTTGGGACACGAAGATTACCGTTTAGATCTGAACTTCGAGATTATATAAAAAATACTTTCGTACTTACAATATAGGTGGCCGATTAGATGCTTTAGGCGATCTGTATGGCACATGAATCGTTTAAGACAACGAATTAAACAGTTTACCTATGTTTGTTGTTTTAACCTTTGTGCATCCTATTTTCTTGTATATGTCTAAAAAAAAGAAACTTGGGACCAGAAATATATTGGTTATTACTCTTTTTTAGGAGGAAGGTAGAGAATATACTAAAAGCAATCTTTGGGACACGAAGATTACCGTTTAGATCTGAACTTCGAGATTATATAAAAAATACTTTCGTACTTACAATATAGGTGGCCGATTAGATGCTTTAGGCGATCTGTATGGCACATGAATCGTTTAAGACAACGAATTAAACAGTTTACCTATGTTTGTTGTTTTAACCCTTGTGCATCCTATTTTCTTGCATGTCTAAAAAAAAAAAACTTGGGACTAGA